GCCCCCCCCGGGGTCTTAAAAAAAAAAGGGGGGGGGGGGGTCCTTGCAGTGCCACCTTCCCAGGCTGTTCACTCTGAAACCTAACGGTGGCCCAAACAAGCCAGCTGCTGCACGGGTCTGTCCTTTCAGGGCCAGCAGCTGTCGCTTAGTACGGAGCCCCCATTATTCTCCCGGCTCCCAGAGGGAGGGAGGAAGCGGGATCTCCCCATGCGCACCCCCAAACCTGCCCCTGCCCAGAGCACAGACCCGCCTCAGGGGTTGGAGTGCAGGACTCGGGGCTCTGCCCCCCATCCTTGCCTCCCTACCTGCCCCCGTGACCTCCGCTCTCCGCAGGGTCCCGGCGACACGAGCGGGGGCTGTCGCTGCCGGCTGAAGGGCGCGCCCTGCCACCCCCGCTGCCAGAACTGCCACTAGGCAGAGAGGAGCCTGGGGGGGCGCGGAGGGCAGGGGCCCTCCACGGAGGGCAGGGTCCCTCCATGGCCCCCCGACACTACCCAACTCTGCTCCGGGGGCTGAGTTCTGCTTGGGGCTAGGATGGGCTGGTACTTCGTGCCCCAGACATCCCTGGAGCTTGGTGCGGTCAGCCCCACGGAGGGCCAGCCGCTGGGCTGGGCTGGGCTGTGGGAGGCCCCGGCCCGCCTGCATCCAGGCCGAGGGCGGGACAGCGCGTGCTCCCACGCTCCCCGGCGAGGTGGGACCAGCCCCGGAGCTCAGGGGACGGCGGGCGCTCGCTCATCGATTGTCAACCCAGCGGCTGGAGGCAATAAAGACCTGCAGGCCGCGCAGGGAGGACGTCACGTGTCTGGCTTTTCTCCCCGTGGTGCCCGTTGGGCAGGGGTGTCCAGTGCCAGGCACCAGCCTCCAGCCCTGGACTCGGGGCCCCCTTCTCATGGAGGTGTTCCCAGCTGTTTGGCAGCCCTGCCCTTAGCCACACGTGCAAACGTGCCTGGCCACAGCCCCGTGGCAGGCCTGGGAAGAGCCCCACTGCGGGGCGGAGGTGGGACGGCCCTGCTCTGCCCTCGGGCAGGCACGGCGGGGCGGGTTAGTAACCGGGCACTGTTTATTTTACACGGCAACAAGCCTGTACGATCTTGGTGTGCACGCATATGTACAAGTCTATACAGTCGCTAGCCCCCGGAGGAGAACGTTTTCCTACGGGCCAGGAGGCCGGGACCTCGATGTGTGCAGACCCACCCTTCAGAGCCTGGCAGGGGGACGAGCAGGCCCCAGCGCGGGTGGGGAGCGCTGCTCGGAAAGACGATGCCGGGAGAGGGAAGCCCAGCCCGGCTGTCTCTGCCCGCAGCCATAGCCACAGCGCTGCAGGAGGGGTGGGAGGGTGGCGCTTTGAGCTGCGCCACCGTGGGACGACCCCCTGCTCCCTCCACCGCCTTTGAGGCACCTTGCACATCACCCCAAGCTACACAAGGGCTTGGTGCTGCAGGTAATGGGGTAAGGGCCATCTCCTGAGCCTGCAGTTAGCCAGTGGCCGTAGGAAAACGCCCTCCTCTTCTGGGGCTTTTAAAGTGCTTCGTTAACAGCTCTTCACGCTGCCCGCCACTTACTGTGGTGTCGGTGCCAGCCTCCTCCCACACCGAGGGACTGGCGCCATCGTGTCACCATGCAGCAGACATGAGGATGTGCTGGGAGAAGAGCCGGGAGGAGCCAGCGGATGCCCTGGCTGCAGAAGCAGCCGTCACTGGGAGCCAACGCGCCCGGCGAGCGCTGGGGCAGAGCTCAGGGCACCCCTGGGAGTCCGAGACCCTGCAGAGCGGGTGCTGCAGCAGGGACAGCCTCGCTGCTCAGAGCGCTCATGATGCTGGACACAGGCAGGGGCACAGCGCCTTGCTGCCAGGCCCAGCTTGCTGCTCTTCTCCAGGACTGGGGCTCCCATGGGACAGAGCGTGGCTCCTGGGGACGGGAGGGGACAACCACAGGCGAGGCAGGGATGGGGTAAGGGCACTTACGGGAGGCTTAGCAGCAGAGGGGCAGGCAGAGGTAGAGGCGTGTAGTGTCTATTGGCTTCACTTGGGTCAGGTGAAATTCTGGGAGCGTGAGAGCAGGGACCTGCTGCAAAGGGGGTAGGGGGACCTGGAGGGGAGGAGGGCAGGGGGGCATGTGCTGGCACCAGTTTCAGGGTTAACGCCAAAGACAGAAACATTAGTCTGCAGGAGACCAAGCAGCGTCGGGGGGGAGGGCAGGGAGGAGAGTCCTCCAACAGGGATTGAAGAGGGTGCTGCTCTAACAAGGCGCCCACTCAGCAAGCCCCAGGCAGGGGCGGTGTCGGAGATTACCAGGACCAGCACGGTGCCATGCTCACCAGGCTCCCACCTCCCCTGCCCAACCCTGACTGCCCCTCTACCTGCTGACCCGGGGTGGGTCATTATCTCTGTTTCGACTACCAGAAGCTCTCCAACTGGCCCCTGCACCGAGCAACCCAGCACGGGTATGACCACGCCAGGACGTGTCAGCTTCCAACGCCCAGACACGAGAGCAGGGGCTCCAAGCCCACGTGGGGAGAAGGAGGCGACAGTGCTCTGTGTCGCGCTCCTAGGCAGAGCTTTGAGCCAGACCCCTTGGACACGGTCCTGGAGGGGAGCCATGTGCAGAGACGGCCCCTTGCTGCCGTGCTCAGGGGAAGAGCTGCAGTTCGAACTTGGGGGCCCACTCCAGGGCACTCTTCACCACGGCCAGTGCCGCGGCGCCCAGGGCCACCGTCAGCCCCATCACCGCCAGCTTGACAAAGCGGTTGGTCCTTGGTTTGGTCAAGACTGACTTTGTCCGCTCCTCCCCTCGGAGCCTCTCCCGGAAACGCTGTCGTAGCACCATGTCCGGTCGCTGCTGGGCTGACGCCAGCTCAAAGTCCTTGAAGGTGGAAGCGGCCGTCCTGCGAGGGGAGAGGCAGGGGCTGAGAACTGCAGGTGGACGGCATCCCCGGTTGGCAGCCTCCAAGACAAGGAGTGCTGCTTATGGGGAACCGTGGTCAGTCGTGACAGCAGCTAGAGGGGTGCAGGGTCTGCCAGTGCCCTTGTTACATCCAGCTCAGGTCCTGCCAGTGCCAGAGGGCAGGCGTCTGCAGGGCATGGTGATCCAAGCCCAGGGTGGAGCAGACACGCAGGCCAAGAAGCCTGCAAGTCCTACCCCCCCTTGGCAATGTGGGGCCAACTGGGCACTGGCAGTGGAGCCCCTCTAATGGCAGCTCTGCCCCATGGGTGTTTCACCCACTGATCCCATGAGCAAGCCCCATGCAGGGTCCCTGCCCTGGCACTGCCCAGGGGCAGAGCACAGCACCCCGGAGCCTGTCATTTGCACTGAGTGTGGATCTTTCACTGCCTGTGCCAAAACCAAGCGGCAAAGAGAGCCCTGGTGCTGGCAAGGCCGGAGCTGGAACCCAGCCCTGGGGGGAGCTGCCACAGCAGGGAGGAGATTGGGGGAGCTGGCGTAGGAGGGCAAGGGCAACGAGTCGGTTGACGTGGGGCCATGCCGAGATACTCGGAACAGCCCAAGCATGGGGCAGGTTCAGAGCTATGCTTCATTCCCATGGCAGACGTGAGGTTTCCCACGGAGCCCAGTACTCACCGCTCGGCGTGCTGCCGCGCCTCCCGGGCGAGCTCCGAGGGTGGGAACTGCACAAAGAGGTCGCCCGCCTGGCTAATGAGGGTCTCGTAGGGCAGGTCCTGCGGGATCTGCGATAGGAGGTGGTGCACGGAGGCCATGTCGCACTCGCAGTCCAGTACTTCCTGCTCCCGGTGCAGCACGATCTGCAACGCAAGCAGCCGCTGATCCTGGCTCCTTCACTTCACTAGCACGGCCGGCAGGGCCCGACGGGAACAGGCTCCCCACTCCCCCCGCAGGGGCTGCCCCAGCTCTGGGCAGACACCTGACAATTCAGCTCACCCTCGACAGGCTGAGGGAACAGGGACTTGTCATTCACCCAGGCCCAGAACACCAGATCTAAGGGGCACCCGCTGGAACCGGCAAGCAACAGGTTTAAAACTGACAAGGGAAAGGAAGCACCTACCACAGCAGCAAAGTAAATGGGCATCAGCGGGTGGCAGGCCAGGAAGAAGTCGTATAATCGCACCACATGCCGCATGTCAGACAGGACGTGCCCGAACCACGTGATCAGCCAGCTGAGCGCAAAGATGGTCCCCACTTCAGCGCTGCGGAGAGGAAGCCCCCGTCAGACAGCCCCTGCCACCAGCCCCACTGGGGCGAACTCTTGGGGTGCGGGGGGAGCCTGACATCACCTCACCTCTAACCTGTGGGGCTTGGACTCAAAGTTCCCCCCACAACCAAGTGTCTTCTGGATTGTCCCACCCCTCTCTGCCCCGATTTCAATCCATTTCCATCCCTGCCGGCTGCTGCGGCGGTTTTCGGGGCCAGCGAGACCTGGAGGAGAGGCCTCAGCCCATACAGGAGCTGAAGCAGTGGTGTCTGCTTTGTAGCACACCAGCTGAGAGCCATTGTCATAGAGGGGGAGACAGTGGGGCAGCCTGGGCGAGGATGCCACAGCGTGGACAAGCCCAGCACAGCAGGGGAATGGTTTCAAAAGCAAGGGGGGCCCTGGGGCTGCTGAGCACCAAGGCACAGAAGGCTTTTGACCTGTGCTGGCTCCTCAGGTCCACTTGGAAGAAGCCGCTAGCCCTGGACAAGTCCCAACCAGTAAATCCCAGCACTGCAAGGAAGACAGCCCCAGACCGGCTGGGAACCTCCCCAGAGGCGGCCTGGGAGCTGGCCACGTACCTCTGCATGAAGTCATGGACTTCAGGGTTCACTTGGTCTATTATGGGCATCAGGTAATTCAGAATGTGCTTGGTGTTGTCCATCGTCGGGTCCATAAAATCCCTGTGGATGAAGAGCAGCTGTCAGAGGCAGGGCTCCTCAGAGACCATCCCACCAGGCAGGCCAGCTGCACTCCAGCACCGCCTCTCTGGGAACCTGGACCTGCACCCGCCCCTGGCCTCGCAGCCGGCATTCAGCAGAGGCCTCTCCCCTGCCAGAGCCACGTCTCGGGGTGCAAGCAAGCCCAGAGACACCTTCCTGGGGCCCTACAGCCCAGCTCGCGGCTGCTGAGGGCAGGGGGTGGGAGACGATTCCCTTAGGACCAGCCCCTCTGGCCCAGGCTGGCATCCAGACCAGGGGACAAAAAAAGAGACCTGCTCAATAAACCAGACCCCCTTTTAGGGTCCCCTGGCACTTCGGCTGCCTGGTCCTGACTCGCGAGTGCAGCCGGATAAAAGCCTCCGTCCCATGAATGCTTCAGGCCCCCAGGGAGCTGTGCGTTCCCCCGACTCGAGCCCCCCAGCAGGAGGACAGGATGGTCCTTGGCCCTGCCTGTCTGTTGTACCTGAGATGATGGGTCGACAGCTTCTCCACCAAGGCAGTCGCCAGCCTGTCGCCCACAACCAGTAGGAAGGTGACCACGATGTCGTGGTAGCCTTGGTAGTAGTGCAGCTGCGGGTTGCGCTTCAGGACGTGCAGGATGATGTCAATCAGCTCCTCCTGCAGCCCCTCCCGCTGCTCGTCGGGCATCCCTGTGGGGACAGCGGCCGTGAGAGCGGACCAGTCCCATCTAACAGGCGACTGCAGTCTCAGAGCTCGACACGGGCCAGCCGGCATCACTGCAGGGCAGGGCCTTGTGCAGCAACCTCAGCCCAACCCAGGGACCAGGAACTCCTGGGTTCTAATCCTGGCTCTCACCCCACCAACCTTTGCTTCACTTTTAGTGCCTCAGTTTCTCCCTCTGTGAAATAGGCATACTAGCAGTCGCTTTGCAAAAGGGGAAGGGCAGGACTTGCTGTGTTTACAACACTGCACGCACCACTCGAGGCTGACGTTAGTGTTGTTCCCAGGAGTCCTAAGAAACCAGCTTAATCCCATTCCCCCAGAAGCCATACCAGGCATGTTGCAATGGCTGTGCAATGCTTGCAGAGGCTGCCACACGGCCCGGCTTCAGCTCAGGGAGTCTCTGCCCCAGAACAAGCTTCTCCGGGTTAATCCCATGAGCAGGCAGCACTCGTGAGCCTCTTGCACAATCACACCCTCTCTGTGCATCGTGGCATCAGCATCCCACAGGGCACCCGTCTCTCTGTGCGTGCATCAAGCCTTGCAATACCATACTTCTCAATGTACAACACCCACTGTTTCCCCAAAATCAGCTACTGACAGTTGGGGTGTGGGGCTTCAATGAGGGGCCTGATTCCAAACAGCTTGGCTAATCCTTCCTTCCCTTCTCTCTACCTTCCCAAAACAGGGGGTGTGGTACACAGATAAATATGGTAAAATCAGCTGCTTAAATGAAGTGGGAAGAAAAAAAACAGGAAGCGGACAGTAGCTTCTGCCCAGGGGCAACAGCTGCTCTGCAAAGTTGGATAACTCCTGGCTCCCATCGGGTTATAAATAGCATGACAAAGCTCCAGCCAATCCTAAGAACAGAGCAACTGCAAGAAGCTTTTGTTTGCAATGGTCAAGGGCTGTTCTGAGCGGGCGCACGACAGCAGCTGGAAGGAACGCGCCTGGCTGAGAAACTTCCTCCTTCAACTGCTGGGAAACCAGGCCCCAGAACCAGCGGCCCAGAGACACGGAGGCAAAGGGTCAAGCCCCCAAACACTGTGCACGGTCTGGCCCCACCCGAGACGTGGCAGATATGTGACTGCCAGGTGTGGCAGCATTAGAGCCAGGCTGGTGAGGGCTTCCTCAGGGGGTACCAGGCGTGTGTGTAGCATCAGAGATGCGCTGAAGTAATGGCTGCAGTGGCAGGAAGGGGCTTGAGAAAGCCAGTGGAGGAAGCACAGCCCCAGCTTAAGGGTTGCACATGCTCAGGACACGGCTTGCAGGAAGACTCGGCTCCCAGGAGCATCACTGCTCCAAAGTGCCGTGAGCCCGGAAGCGAGTTATGTGACACAGGGTGTGGGACGGGGAGCTCTGGGGATGCAGAGAGGAGCAGAGTGTGAGCGTCTCACCAGGGGGGAAGCGACGCAGGGATCGCCGGACGTCCAGGAGCACCTGCTGGTAGTCTTTGTTGTCCTCTCGCAGCTCCTTTCCTGAGGGGGGAGAGGAGCATTACAAACCCACCAACCTGGCACTGCGGAGCAAAACCCTCCACCCACCACGTGGGATCCAGGCTCTCCCCGCTGTACTCAGGCCTCGTGCTCCTGTCAATGCCCATCCTGGCACTGTTACCACTGACAAAGGCCGTGCCGGGGCCAGGAACAGTCACAGGTTCCCTGCAACCCTGAGGACAGGTCTGTGTCACAGCTTAGCTGCCAGCACGTGGTGGGCGGGACGTCACTCCACAGCACTACAGAGTAGCGGAGGTCCTGCCATGGAGCCGCTGAACGCCAGGGGAACGAGAAGCAGCCTGAGCAGCTGCTCCTCTTTGGAGCAGACCCGGAGAGATGCCACGAGGCACCAGACAGCTGTGGGCCACTGAGCATCAGTCCCTGCCTCCCACAGCTCCCAGGCCCGGCACAGCCCTAGCAACTGGGAACGCGTGCCCGTGAGCAGGCCCCCAGGGGGACGTTGTTTTCTGTGCGAGCAGAGCCAGGGGCAGGCTTGAATGTCGCAGGGAAAACCGTTTTCCCGGCCTCAGATTTGACGCGCCCTGCGTGCAGGCTCCGTGGGGCACAGCGGCCATCGATTCACCCGCGCCTGGAGGGGGAGCAAGCTCCTACCCACCAAAACAGCACCCCTCAAAAAAACAGGACGCGTTCGCCGCGTGGCCACTTTTTGCTCTCGGTTGGCGTAGGGCAGCTCTGCTCCAAACTGCCCGGCTGCAGCAGGACGAGACCTGCCAGTCGGGTCCCTCCGGGCGGCACCGACTAGTTAAAACCAACCCGGTCCTGGGGTCGGTGACGAGCAGCTGGACGCGAGATGCGGGGACACCACGGGGTCCGTGCCGGACGCCCTGCTCTCGAGGCAGCACACGTGACACGCAGGCAACACGGGGCAAGGCCTCCCATCTGCGTGCGTGCACGTCACGTCACGTCACGTCACGTCACGTCACGTCACGTCACGTCACGTCACGCCCTCCCGTACCTGGAGGCGGCGGCAGGTCGTCCGTGTTCACGTTGAGCAGCTTGGGCCACACCTGGCAGCGAATCTCGTTGGTCAGGAGCCCCCCCTCGCTGATGGCCATGCGCCGGAGGGTGGCCACGTCGATGGGGTCGCTGCTCAGCGCCTGCTGGATTTCAGCTTCTTTCCTTTTCTGCTTCGAATCGTAATCTGCAGAGGGGACACGTGCCAGGGCAGGCTCGCCGGCGCGGCGCAGGCAGAGCTCCCGTCCGGCCCCACGGCCCCGCAATCGGGGACCCAGCACGCATTCAGG